AAATTATATAATTTACCATAACATAATGCTAATTATGTTTATATTTTTTAATAGAAGTTTTTAAATGACATAGTAGCTAGACTAATTTTATATCTGTATTTCTGCACAAATAAAAGCATACTCTTATGTGCATCAGATTGTTTTGGCTTATAAGAGCATTACATTGAAGTGTCAATGTAAATTAAATGTAAATGTACAGATACAATAAGTACTCAGTGACATCTCTGTGGTAACCATTATTAAAAATAGAAAAATGCTTTTGATACTACAAGGCTGTTCAAAAAGTATCGGACCTTTGGTTGGCAAAAATACATTTATTGATTATGAGGTACAAAACCCTAATCCCCTTCAAAGTAGTCTCCTTGGTAGTGTATACACTTCTCCTAGCATTCCTGCCATTGCTGGAAACACTGCTGGAACGCATCTTTTGGAATGGCCATCAGCCGGTCTGTCGCATTCTGCACGATGTCTTCTCTCGACTAAAATCAGATTCCTTTTAGCGGCATTTTCAGCTTGGAAAATAGCCAAAGGTTACACGGAGCCATGTGGGGAGAGTACGGAGCGTGACGAACCACAGGAGTGTTGTGTTTGGCGACGAAAGCCCGAATCAGATGCACAGAATGGGCGGATGCGTTATCACGATGGAGCTACCAAGTTTTGATCGACCACAGATCCGGTCATTCGAGTCGCACAGCATCGGAAAGACAACGAAGGACCTCTTGGTAGTACCCCTTTGCGATGGTTTGGCCTTGTGGTGCGTACTCACGATACACCACCCCACGAGAGTCGAAAAAACTGTCAGCATGACCTTGATATCGCTGCGGACCTGCTGCGCTTTTTTTGGCCTCGAGGATCATCCCCGAAAGCCTGCTGAATTTTGCGAATGGTTTACACTTGGGTATCACCAAGACTTTTGGCAAAATTTGATGTAATATCGCTGCTCATGTTGTTCAGTCATTTTCCAACTTAGTGAAATCTGACAAGAGCTCACTATCTGTCCTCACTCATAGGCCGACTGCCAACGACTGGCGCTTCCTGCAGGCAGGAAAAAATTCAGGGTTATGCATGACTTTTTCCTCCACAACTCCACCGAAAGAGGCCTCCCACGCATCATTGGTTTACGCAGAAAAAATAAAAGTCCGATACTTTTTGAACAGACCTCGTATAAAAGCTTTTTTAAAAATTGAGATTTTTAGATACTATTATGGTATTTTATGGTTCATTAGGTACTAGGTCTTTTTGGAGAAAACTATAGTGCCAATTTTGCCCAACAGCATGCTCATAAGAGTATGCTCTTATTTATGTAGACATATCATAACATTTTTTAGCTATTACTTAAAGAATGTTTATCATTTATTTTTATATGAAAACAGTTCTATACCTTTTGTCTTTATATATTCTTTTCAATTGACTTTATCGTCATAAACAATGAAATGCCTTTTAAACTTAAATAATTTGTGTATTTTTTGTTTTTGCAATGTTTAATAATAAAATATAAAAACTAGATTTAAAAGTAGCTCATTTATATTCATTACAAACAAATGTGCATTAAATAATAGATAACATAAATGAATTTGAATGTAATAAATTCAAAAACTTCAAAAAATAATAAAATAAAAATAAATTAAAATTTTTATAAATTTTATCTCCACAGATTATAAATATTAAATATTTTTCCTAATTTTATATGCTTCTAATTAGATGCATTCCTCATTAGATAATTCCTCACAGTTATAAGGAATTAAAGATAACAAATTTTTATTTATTACTTATCAATAATTATGTTTCACATGCTAACAAGAAAAATGTAACATTCTTTCTAAATGTTAAAATTTTAAAATAAATTATCTTATAATACGTTGTTCATCAAAAATTAAGCATGGATCACAAAAATCTAAATAGCATAAAAGCTTAATGAAAATTAGTGTATAGGTATAATTTAGTATGAGAACTTAAAATTATGCAAAATGTATATAAATATGCAAATGAAGAACATTGGGAAAATACCAGCATCTTCCCAGAGAGCACTATTTTTGCTGAAAGGATACTATAGACAATAAAGAACAGAAAACAGAATTGTTATGATGCAAACAGTACATAATCATGTCCCAAAGATGTTTACAGGATTCAGAAAGATGGAGAGCTGTTGGAAGATTGGAAGCTGGTCAATCAATTACAGAAATGGAGAGATTTATTGTCCGTCATTCTGTTATCTCAAGGCTTTGGAGACAATTCCAAACAACAGGAACTATTGTCAGGAGACTTGTCTCATTCACAGATGACAACATTTCGGGATGATCGTTATATACAGCTCCTAGCCAAAAGAAACAGAAGATCATCTGCAACATCTCAACATACTAGCCTCATTTTATCCACAGGAAGACAGTTATCTGTCCCAACTGTTACTACAAGGTTTTACAAGGCGACTATGTCCGTCATATGGTAGTATGTGTGTCTTTAACCTCTAGACATAGACAGGCCCCTGAACTGGTATCAGAAGCATGTATAGGCTAGACTCTAGAACAGTGATTCCCAAACTTTTTCAATCCACCACCCCCTTTGTTCCATAAAGTTATACCCAATGCCCCCTAATCCATTTTCTCTTGTGTGAGAAAGGATTGGAAATATTCTTAGGAAAACTTTTCTATGAATCTCACACTTTATGCCCTTACTGTACACATTGTTCTCAACATCTGGAAACCATTAAATGCAATTTTTCCTTCCAGTGACCCCAATTTTGCCTTTGGTCACCATTCAATACCCTGCCTCCAGTGTCCCCCTAGATCTACTCATCGCCCACAATGGGGAGTTATTGCCCACTTTGAGAAATGCTGCTCTAGAACAATGAGCTCATATCCTGTTCACAGATGAGTCTAGTTTCTCCCTGGAATCTGACAGTAGGCATATATTGATCTGGAATGAAGATGGAACCTGTTACAAATCACAGAACATAATGAAAAGACATGCTTTTAATGGTAATAGGGGGACTATCTGGGCTGGGTTTTCATTAGATGGAGGTACCAACCTCCATGTGTTTGATTGAGGTACCATTACTTCTCACAGGTATACTGGACCATGTCAAACCTTATGTTGTGCACTCAGAGATAATTTCATTTTAATGGATGATAATGCTCATCTGCATCAAGCAAAACTGGTTGACCAATACCTTTACGAAGAGGAAAGAGGGAACAAAATGAATAGATTGGCCTGCATATTTTCCAGATCTCAATCCCATAGAATGTCTACGGAAATCTCTAGAGAAACATGTTTCAGCTGTCATACTCCTCTGCAAACCCTTGGGAGTCCTCCAAACCACTCTTTTGTGTGAATGGTAATTGCTGTCTTCTCAGTTTTTGCAATTTCTTATTGAAGGTATAACTTGACACTGTCAAGCTGGCATTTAATTCTATATTGACCTCAACATTTGTATTCAAACCTTTTTTTTTTGTATTCACATTTATTGTTACTTGCATTCATCTTATTTTTTCTGTTAACATTCACTTATTTTTTCCTAAATTTATGCAGTGTATACCTTAGTATGTATGTATGTATGTATGTATGTATGTATGTATGTATGTATGTATGTATGTATAACCCTATGAAAGTTTTATAAGTTTGTTTAACTGGTTTTGAAAATATTTTCATTTTTGTGATCCATGCTTAACTTTTGATGGCCAGTGTACATTGAATATTTACATGCTATATATTTTATATAGGATCTAGCAGAAAAACAGGCAATTATAAATAGACATTTATTAACTTTTAGATATTTATTAACAAATCTTCACATACAAGATTTCAGACATCATAGATTGCCATTTATGTTTTTAAGATGACATTATGCAAGTGACCTTCATTCATACACTAATACATCTTTGAAGGATATCATGTATAAAACAGTGCAACATATTCTTTATTATGATATTGACTATATGACAAATTTTTGCCTTAAGAGTTTTAAGAGTGTATGAAGAATGTGATATATAAAGACTGTCCACAAAATATTGAAATTCTTAAGGCAAAAGTTTGTTATGCAATCAATAACACACCTAAGAATATGTTGCATCACTCTGCATGACATTCTTCAAAGATACAAAGTGTGTTTGTGCATGAATGAAGATTATTTGCATCATCTTCAAAACATAAATGGCAATCTAAGTTGTCTAAAATCTTGTATGTAAAGATTTGTTAATAAATATTTAAAAGTTAATAAATGTCTATTTATAATTGCCCATTTTTCTGTCAGACCCTGTATTTTTAATATTTTTAATAAGAATTAAATTATCTTATATAGAGAATAGAATATGTTTATATTAAAAAAAATTGAATTCTTTAATCAGAACTACTAAATGACAACTCATTTAAATTTGCTTTAAATACAAATTAGTAAATAAATATTAATTTCTTTAATAAATCCTGAAACAATTTTAATACTATTATATTTAGTACATTTGAAAATAGAGTTAATATACTTAAGAATTAGGAACTGTTTAGAATTAAAATAATCAGATCTTGTTACATCCAGATCTTATTTATTTTAATCTTACTTAAATTAAATGGTTAAATAACACATTTCTCAAAAAATATAAAACAGGTATTAATGTTAAATTTAAAACATACAAGTTAAATATATTATATCTTTAAAAATAACAAAGATATTTTTAAATATTTAAAGGAAATATTTATTTAAAATCAGAATAATTATAGTTGCAAGACTGAGATAAACAAATGTGGAATATGAAACTGATTTCCTTCTAAATGAACTTTAATGTATTTCAAAGGAAAAATTAATGTCTTTATATTTAATAGAACATGACATGTTCCTAGAATGATTCGTTCTTATTTATAATCTTGTATAAATTCTCATATTCATCTTTAACAAACATCATTAGTAGTGGCAAATATATAAATTAATAACAAAACTTGCATATATAATTTTACTATTGAAATAAAAACAAAACATAAATTAATCGTTTGCAGGTAACGTCAGCAAGACCTACTTGATTATTTGTGGCGGCGATGCTTTCATTTTTAAGTAACTGAAATATCTTCCATTTTTATTAAAATCATTTCATTACATTCTTCTTGATTTATTCATAAAAATAATAAGTTTCTCTTATTTCTTCAACGTAGCTCCCACCCTCCATCAAACGAAAATCGTCAATTTCACGAATCACAGCGCCTCTACAAAAAGTTCTTAGATTATTCCTTAATTTTTGAATACATCATTTATTCTATAGATATAATATAACTTATTTTATTACCCAAAATAATCAATTTTATACTATTATTTATTTTGTTAAATAATCGAGATTAATAACTGTAGTAAATAAATAATAGTTAATAAAGAACTGCGTCGTAGCTACTGTAAACTTTCTAATTTCTGTTGATTGATTTGGATCCATCAAGTTAAAATCATATGAAAAACTAAATAGAATATTGATTTGGATTTCTCAAGAAAATTTATCTTGATGTTATCCGAATTTTTTTTATCAAAACAATAATTTAGCTGATTAATCGTATTGTGATATTCGATGTAGTTGAAGACGTGAATGGATGAAGGTGTTCGGTTACAAAATCAAAGTTTTGAATGAATTGATATTTAAATTTTTATTATCTAATTATTTCGATGGAAATATATCCTTGAAGTAGTATGTTGCAGTGAGAATTACTGTGTTTTTTTAATTTCTGATAAATTTTATGGTGGTATATGAGAAATGAATACACTACATGGATAATCCAGGATAATCCAGTTTTAAATGATTGTAATATAACATTTTCATCCATTTTTGTCTTCAATTCGTCTAGCTACGTATATTGGTTCGGAAGTCGCATAGCCGAGGTGCTAAGGCGTCAACTTACCGCTCTGGAAGACCCGGGATTGAATCCGGGCGAAAATAAAGCCTACTAGGATAAGTATCTATGATTGAAAAGGCTAAATAAAGAAGTTGCTAACAAAAAACAACAACGAGTTAAAAACAATTTTAATAACTCAACTGCACATACCTTGATATTAATGTTTTAGTAGAGTGAACTATCTTTAATTCTCTCCCCGCAGAGTGGAATTTCCAAAAATCCTTTCTTAGTAATCATTCTCTTGGCGTACCCTGTGTACCAAATTTCAACTTTCAACGTCTAACCGTTTGGGCTTTGCGCTTATTATTATCATCAATCCATCTTGAGTATAGTACAAGATTCTGTGAAAAAATATCTATATGGAAAAATAAAACATCTAAATTCATTAGGCCACATGCTATAAATTTTGGGGAAAATATCTAGACAATATTAAAAGTACTTAGACCTAGATACAAATTACAAGTATTTAAATTTTGTACCTTGTACTTAAATTGGCAATAGTGAATGTAACAGAAAGGATATTTTAGTTGCAAATCGCCATTTTACCCGAGGCTGCACTATTTTTACTTCTTGTGTATTCGGCACTTTTAAAATTTTACTAAATAACAGGACAAATGACAAACTGGCCGGGACGCAGGGACCACGTCATCAAACCGGGACGTCTGATAAACCTATATATACAGCTATAGCATAAAGTGTTAAGGTGTGAGTGTTATTAGATTTACTTCAAGCTTCTTCATATGCATTATCAGAATCCTGACTGGCCAGTGATACATCTAGATTTTGAAAGTCGAAGTTTTATCTTATTTGCAAACGCCCCTGATGTCTTGTTCCAACAGGACAATGCCTGATCAAATGTAATTCAGAGTATTGTGTCTACTATACCTCTTTTCGGCTTTGCGAAATAACCAGATTTATTGCCTATTAGACATGACTGAAATATAGTCGTTCAGCAACTCGTTCGTCATACTACATCAGCATCTATCGAGAAGAACGTCTGTTTTAAACAGAAGCGGTTTAGTATGAGATACCAGAAATAGCCATCCAGGATTTCTCCCATTCAGTGTTCTGCCATATACAGCCTGTTATTGCTATCCAGGAAAGCACACTAAATACTAAATACAGTCAAACCTCGAGTTACGAAAAATTCGGTTTACGAACAAAATTTTCAACGCCATATTTGCTCCGGTTGCCGTACGATAACTCGGTTTCCGGATAAGCTACTCGGCAACAACCGTCCTCAGACGGTGAACTCCATATTTTTCCTGTGTTATTAAAGAAAGTGAATGGCCCGACCAATCAACGACGGGACTACAGATTCAGACGTTAATGACACCGAGATCGACTCGCGTCACGTAACCAATTATCGATGACGTTTTATTTAATTAATTAATGAATTAAAATTAAAATTGAAATCAAATGAATTGAAACACAATATTTCGGAAAGTATAGATAAAGTATGATACTTGTCGGTCCTAATAGATTTGATTATATTTCATCTTGGCAGTCAGAGTTGAATCTCTATTTATAGCATTTCTCTGTAAAGTGTTAGTTTCGGTTTCAGTTCCGTTACCGGTGAGGGAACATTTTTCTTTTAATACTATACGTATAGAATAAATATAGGTATAGATATAAATAAATATACTGTATAACATAATATTGCCTTTATGCATGAAATACAGTTAACAAGATAAAAAACAAAACCTGTTTTTTACCTTGTTAGCTTGTTTGAGTAGGAAACGGATTAATCCATTTTACATTGTTTCTTGTGGGAAAATTTGTTTCGGTTTGAGAACAAATCGGTTTTCGAACAACTTTTAGTAACGAATTAAGTTCGTAAACCGAGATTTGACTGTATTGTTTTAGGATTTTATTCTTTTATAGCTACGTATTTTTCGGCTATTAATCACGATTTACCATACCATGATTTCTGAGGAAACTTAACTAGTATTTTTTTTTATTTCTTAGTAAATTCTAAACTTCAAGATGTACTGTACATTAAGGTAATAGATAAGATAATAAAAGGTACTTTAAGTGAGTATTGTAAAATAAATTTAAGAGTTGTCTGGGCTCTTTGAGAAATTGTATCGATAAAAATAATTGTAATTAATGTGAAAAACAAAACGAAATTGTCCAAATGTAGTGCTCCAACTGAAAAAAGGGTTTAAAAAACCCCCGAAATATACCGGTACAGTACATCTTGGAGTTAGAGTTTAATAAAGAAAAAACCAAGTTAAGTTTCCAAGTTAATAGCCGAAAAATGCGTAGCTATAAAAGAATAAAATTCTAAAAAGAAAAATAAGGATTAGAAGCTTTACGAATAAAACTAAATATTGTGTCCCCTCTATACCTACAACTTCATATTTCTAATCATTTAAATCTTGTGTAATTTGCCAGTAGATTTCACTTTGTTATATCATTATTAGTGTTTGACAAAAAATATATTTAAAAGTTTATTTAAGATTATGAATAAAAATTAATCACAATTAAAAAAATGTTTTTCGTTCTAGTGAAAATGACTGATTCGTTGATTGAGATATCATAATATTAAAGCTATGGTCTAAATATGCTGGTTTTAATATGCTGGTATACATTTTCAGGCGCAATATTATTTCTAATATTTTTCATTTTTATTTATAGTCTATTACCTGGTGCGAGTTGAATATTGACGAAGGTATGGCATTTCAAAACAATTTTTTTGTTCATTTTATGTAGGGTGATAAAGGGCGTCAAATGCAAGTCTTGCCCTGGGCGGCATAAACTATAGCGCCGGCTCTGGTGATAGCCTAATGTCAACCAACAACAGCGTAGAATGGAATCGGCGCCTAGGCTCGTATCAATCATGATAAATTATGGAACGTAGACTGAATTCGAATTTGGATTCCTATTAGGAAAGGCAAACAACTAATCGTACGGTCAAATAGTAGGTTAATTACAGTCTTCAAACATATTCAAATATACAATTGTTACTTCAAATTGTTTTAAAAAAATGCAGCACATTTATTTTGAGAAGAAACGTTGCATATTGTAACCAGTATTACTTTGTGACTGGAGAGAAAACTTTATGACATCATACTAGAGAATGGTAAAAATATGGTTGTTTTTTAAGTAGATTTCCATCTTAACAAATTTAGATGGCTTGATGGCAGAGGAAGTAAAAGAAGTATATCTCGAAGATCCAGGTTCAGGTCGGCTCAGAAATTTTTATTTATGAATTATCCAGATATATCAAGCCTTCATTACCCGGCTGCTTCCAGCCCCGTGGAGAAACAGCACGGGCCCACGGTAAAATCTCCAGGCATTCGGCCCCTCTCCTGGCACATTTTCCCGTCTGCCTCGTCCAAACGATCCAACCAGATCCGACTCGTCAATCTTTTTATTTGAGAGATTATTCCATATTCCCTTCTCCACTTACCACAGTGATATGTCCTTGCAAAGAAACAAAGAAATTTACTTTAAGAAACGGGCTCTCGGTTCTTTGTAAGGGTCCGGGTCTGTCAGCGCTGGCTGCTCCCATCATATGTTTGACGTCACTCGTGATGAGCATTAGTAAAGGTCCTCTCAGTACAGTTTTAAAATTTTCATTCGATATTAGAATATGTCTACTAGCTTTCTTTAATTTTCAAATATTTGATTTAATTGCATGTATTACGATTTGTTGAAATTTATAGGCACGTATGTAAAGTCGAACGAGGGAAAAGAATGTCATCATCATTAACCTAATTTAGCTAGATATTTCAGCCGATCATTTAATAAGACGGCTGTTCCTAAAGCTGAAGTTCTATTTGTTATTAATTTAATCGTATTTGAATTTTTTTTCAGTTTGTCTCACACAAGCAGTTATTTGCGTCGTTTCATTTTTTAATCCACAATTTGCACATTTGATTAAAATTAGAAATATCATTGTTGCTGGACGCCACTTTCTTCACGAAGCGAACTCTTTCGTTCGTGAGGTTCGTTAGACTTTTATTTGAAATGTCATTATTATTAGAGTAAATCAGGGTTTCATGGTGAATAAAATTTCTAGAAATTGTGAGTGTGAAAATAAATTTTATTTTAAAAAGCTAATTGAACTAGAACAAACATAACGAGCAAAAGTAACAATGTTTTCATAAAAACAGATTCCAAAAAACAAAATATAATTTTCTGCTAATTTATCATTTCACCCTTAGAGATGTGGGTTAGTTGGTGAACAGTATACGATGAGCATGAGCCTATCTCTTTTACCAGATTTACCAGAGCCTACTCTGTTGTTTTTGACCGATTACTGGCTAGACTTATTATTTAAGCTTCTAAAGCAGTGATTCCCAAACTTTTTGAACCAATGTTCCCATGGTTTCATAAACCCAACGCTCCCCAACTGTACTCCAACGTCTCCTAACCCATTTTCTCTTGTTGGACATATTCTTAGAAAGGAAGAAGAGA